GAGCAGAGAATGAGGGGAGAAGGGAGCCCGGGAGCCCAAAGAGCCCCGGCATCCCAAAATGGGGAGAGTGAAGAGGGGGGAGCTTTTGGCATTGCTGGGACTGCCAGCAGCCTTGGCAGGGTGGGCACCGAGGAGAAGGGGGGCCCCCAATCCAAGCATGACCTCAACAGCTGGGACAGGGGGGAACCCCCAAACACCAGAGGGGAGGGACCAGGGACGGGGAACTCTTGGGAGGCTTTTCCAGGGCTGAATCTTGGTGTTTGGGAGGTTTTCGTGAAGCACAGATGGCCGGTGACTGGTAGAGATGGACTTGGGCAGAGGGACCTTCAAACTCAACATGATCATCCCTTGTTTTCCCCAAACCAGGATTTCCCATTGCCAACCCCTGGGAGTCTGTGAGGAAGATGCCCCGGGACACTGAGGCAGGTGAGGAGGAAGTCAGTGCCCCTTTCCCCTCTGTGCTGCTCCGTAGCCCAGCCCAGTATGGCCCTGGCTGCAGCACAGCCCTGGGGGGATCTCCTTGCCCTTGCCTGTGGCACAGAGGCAAATCCCATCCTGTCCTTGTCCTTCCTACCCCAGAGCAGGAGCTGAGCATGGAGAGCAGGGAGGACAAATGCCCGCGGCAGAACCTGGTGGAAGAGGCCGTTTTGAGCGGCTCCATGGTGCAGGAAGCCAACGGGGAGGAAAAGCCCCAGAGATGTCGCACAAGGAGGGGCTGCAAACGCAGATGGCAGGGATCTGAGGAGGAAAGAGCCAGCCTGGGCTGGGAAGGCGGCCAGAGATCAAGCCAGAGCTCGGAGCTGGTGCTCCATGAGCAGCTCCATGATGGGGAGAAGCCCCACACATGTGTGGAGTGTGGGAAGAGCTTCAGGTGGAACTACAAGCTCATCGAGCACCAGAGGACCCACACTGGGGAACGGCCATACGAGTGTGGGGAGTGTGGGATGAGCTTCAGCCGGAGCTCCCACCTGACCAGCCACCAGAGGACCCACACTGGGGAGAGGCCCTACGAGTGTAGGGAGTGTGGACAGAGCTTCAGGCAGAGCTCCAGCCTGATCAGCCACCAGAGAACCCACACTGGGGAACGGCCCCATGAGTGTGGGGAGTGTGGGAAGAGCTTCAAGTGGAGCTCTGACCTGATCAAGCACCGGAGGATCCACACTGGAGAACGGCCCTACAAATGTGGGGAGTGTGGGAAGAGCTTCAGGGGGAGCTCTGACCTGATCAAGCACCAGAGGATCCACACTGGGGAACGACCCTACGAGTATGGGGAATGTGGGAAGAGCTTTAAGGACCATGACACCCTGATCAGGCACCAAAAGATCCACACTAGGGAGAGGCCTTACGAGTGTTCCGAGTGTGGGAATAGATTTCAGTTCAACTCCCATCTCCTCCTGCACAATCTGAGTCACACAGAGGAGAGGGCC